TAGGCATTTGAATACCTGAATCTGAAGCTCAGGGATGAGATCTGGACTAAGTACAAATCCAGAAGTCCTACAGCATGGATGTGGTAGTTAAAACCCACTGTAGTCATCTAGGGAAAAGTTGAGAAGTTAATAACCAAAGCAAAGCCTGGTGCATTGGGACTCTGAGCCTGAAGGATCAGGGGAGGGAAGGTCTGACGGAGAGGAGCAGTGAGACAGAATGGGGCCCAAAAGTCCAAGGTCATGGGAAGCTTAGGGATGACAGAGTGGCCAGTGACCTCAAATGCAGCTGAATGACCTAGGTGAAAAAGGCCTGGGCCATGTGTGCTGGGCTGAACATCCAGAGAAGGGGCCTGTTCAAAAGGTCTGAGTCACTGGGGGCATGATCTATCAGAGTGTGTTCTTTTCGCCACCCCCCACCCCTGCCAACTTTGCTTCCTGGCCACCATGGAGTGAGCAACTTTCCTCCATTATGCCCTTCCATTAGGCTATTTATGCCTTGGTGCCAGCCAACTGAGGACTGAATCCATTAAAACTGTGAACCAAAATAAGCTCCTCCTTTAAGTTGTGGGTATCAGATATTTTGTTCTAGTGATGGGAAAGTGATTAATACAGAAAACTGATACCAAGAGTGGGGTCTTTGCTATGACTATACCTGATTGTGTGCTTCAGAAGCCTTTGGAACTGGTTTAAGGTGAGGCACTTGGAATGCTTTGAAGATGCTGTCTAGAGAAGACTAAGAATGCTGTAAACCTAGCTTGATGGGTGATGATTCTGGTTGGAGCTCAGAAAACCAGAATTTTTGTATTTTTTTTGGGGGGTGGTCCTGGGAATCAAATGCAGGACCTTATGTTTACCGGGCAGGCACAGCACTGCTGAGCTACATCCCTGGCCCCACAGAAAACCAGAATGTTGATAAGAGTGCCGACAATAAATGCCAGACTTAGGATGTTTCAGATGGAATGAGGGCTCTTACTGGAAAATGAATTAGAGATAATGTGTGTTACTTTCTGGCAAAGAGCTTACTTTCATTTGGCCCATGACCTAAGATTTTATATGAGGTTAAAATTGAAGGTGGTAGACTAATCCATTCAGGGAAATTTCAACGCAGCCCAATGTCTAGGCATTGGCATGGGTACTGGTGGCTGCTTTTAGCCACATTTATAGTGAGAATAAGGAGCAGAGCTTTGAGATGTGAAAATATTTCAGATTAACCTGAGAGAAAGCACATGTAAAGTTGGGGCCAAGGAGAACATGGTTGTTCAAAGAATAGCATTAAAGACAGCCTGCTATAATCTAGAAAGATAATATAGAGGGTGCACCATGTATATATCACTGCCAGTAGAGTCTGGGCTCCACCCTATAATTACACATACCAAATAGGACAAATCAACTATAAACAACTTTAGTGGTGGTCAGACCAAGTTTTTCATGAAAGCAGTTGTCAAGATATTTTTGTTTTCTAGAGCTTTTTAGATTTTTGGAACTGTGATAACAACCACCCTGCAAAGTTGTTTTAAGGCTCAAATGAGATGCCTGTATAGAAATGAAGCAGGAAGGATAACCACAAAATTATACAGGTCCTGCTTTTCCTAAGAATGAAAGAAACTTTTCTTTTTCCTACATTGTGCCAGTGTGAGAAATTTTTAAAGGAAACTCTCTGATAGCCTTTTGGGAGCTATGTCTCCACAGCTGCAAAATAATTACCTACTTTACAGAACATATTTCAAAGGCTGGGGATTTAGCTCAGTGGTTCCACTGCCCGCCTTGTAAGCGTAAGGACCCAAGCTCGATCCCTGGTACCAAAAAAAAAAAGGAATGTATCTTAGAGTATTTGGCAGTAACTGAATTATCAAGAACAGTCCCTCTACTTCATATTGATTTCTGCTCCTCTTCAGAAGTTGGAGCAGGCTGATCTCTCAGATAATGAAGACTTCACAATGGAAATCAGTCTTTCAGTCTTTCATTGTTCTCTATGGCTCCCACACCCCAATAGAGTCCCTCTTCCAAAACCCCATTTCCATTAACTGAGGATTTAGGCTCCTGGCTCACAGACTTCATCTTATACCTTTTTTATACATAAGTGATTTTAATATTTGTGTGGACAACCAACTAGCAACCCAGCATCACCAGGAACTACTGTTCCTCTAAAACTACAAATTCCAATGTTCCACTATAACTTCAGTTCCTCTTTCTGATTATATTCAAATTTCCTTGAAGTCTTGTCACTTTAACCTCTCTTTCGGCCTAATCTGCCACCTATCTAGCCTGGATCCCACAATTTATCTTCTCAACCAGTTTCTTGTTGGTATTACCAATGTTCTTGACCTCTTGTTCTGCATTTTGCACCCTAAAAATCCTGGTGTCTACCTTCCCATGCTGCAACCAGAATTTTGATGACCCTGAAGACAGATCCACTGAAGGCTATTCCCAGAGACCACCTTCAATGTCAGCTTTCAGCTCTACCCAATGGGCTACTTTTGAGAGTTTTGTTGGCTTCCTCACTCAATGGCTTTTCCAAATTTTAAGGCTCTAAACCTACCCCTACTCTCCCAGTTAGAAGATGGTGTTGCTTCTTGTGTGATAAAGAAAATATACCTTCTTGTCCCTGTGTTTGCATACCTGCTCATACCCTTACCCACCCCTTTCCTCTGAAAACCTGCTGTTTCCACTGCTCTGGGCCTTTGTTCCTCCCCTTCATGTTTCCCAAGAGATTTTTTTGTTCTTCTTTCTCCTGTTTTTTTTGGTACTGGAGATCGAACTCGGGTCCTTGCACTTGCGAGGCAGGTGGTGGAACCACTCTCCTGTATTTTTGATGTCTCTATCTTTCTGAATTTTTCAATGAAAGTTAAAAAGATGGCAGAATCTTTCCATCTTAAAACATAACATACTCTCTTATCCTGTTGTCTCTTTGTGACATTTTATCTCTTCTGCTTGTGAGAGATGTCATCTATAGAACAGTATAAAGCAATGGCCATCAATTTCTTACCTTTTTAGTTCTTATGGTCAGTTCCAATGTGAACCCTAGTGCAAATGAGACTCCTCTGGCCCAGATCCCCAGTGTAGCCAGCCAGCTCATTTGGTTTTCACTGTACTTTACCCTTCTGGCCATTGTACACACTGACTGCTACCTCCTCACAACTCTCTTGGTCTCTCACTCCCCAGAAAATCCTTCTCTTTTTTTCTCTCTGAAAATCTGCTCTGACTCCCTGGTGGACTCTACTCCTTCTCTCTAAAACTCTGTCAATGTGACCATGTCCCAGGGTTTGTTCAAGTCTTCTCTCCTTATACTATACTCAACTCTGTCCTCTCTGAGAACTCCTACTGCAAAACATCCCTGAACTCTGAGACTGAGAACCTCAGCTCAGCTACCTGACATCTCATGTGGATGTACCAAAGAAATTTCATGCCCATCACATCCAAAACTGAACCCACTGTCTTCCCCAACATCCCCTAAACCTCTTTCTTCCCCCATATCAGAAAATGACATTGATACAGGGGGAAAGAGATGTTAATTCTCAAGCCTGCTAGATATCTGAAACGTGAGTTCGTGTTCTCTAAAATCGAAGAATGAATTCTAGGAACATCGGTGGTTAAGAGTATGAAAATTTTATCGCAGGAAAGAGAGCTTCTGTCTAAGAGAGACAAAAGGGGGACCAGAAAGTGGGTTGCCTGCTCACCCCACTTTTCAAAGATGTTTTATACAGCAAAGCCATGTGGTGAGGTGGGTACAAAGTGGGACAAAACTGTTAAGACCCAGTGGAAAATTACAAGGTGGGCATGAGGTGGGGCAAAACCATGACCAACCAATAAGATTACAAGTACAGTCACCCAGGTGATATTGATTAAATGGGGGCCAAATGGGGGAGCAAGTCACATAGAAAGTGAACAAGGATTTTCAGTAAGGGTGTGGGGGGGTCAGGGATATTACCTGGAAAGGCTGGGTTAAGACCTTGCCTCCCCCACCCAGGTGACTGAAACATACTTAGAATATGAATCACTGCTATTTCTCCTCACGGTATGGTATAGTAGAGTATAGTAGTTCTCTCCTTTTACAAGTCTGGCCTTCAGTGAAAGTCTTTATTGTCCTCCATGTTGGCTCCTTGAGGGCTGGCTACTTGAGGGCTGCCCTGTCTAAATGCCTACAAGATTTCCAATTAACTTAGCTATCTGCCAGCCTCTACCTTTTCCTCTCCTGTGCACCCCATAGACAATCATTTACCAAATAAATCTCAAACCTGTGTCATCGCCATCCCCAGGTTGGTGCCCCAGTCCAGACCCATGGCCTCTTGTCTGTGTCACTACAATAGAACCTCAAGAGGTTTCCAGTCTCCGGGTTTGCACCGCTTTAGCTTAGGCTTGACCCACTGGGGAAGCTCTATAAAATGCACAGTTGCATTCCCTTCTACTCAGAGGATCGAGGCAGGAGGATTACTTGAGTATAGGAGTTTTTTGCTGGGCAACACAGCAAAACCCAGACACAGAAGGAAGCAGATCTGCTCCAATCCATAGTAGTATAAAGTGTATCTATGGGACTATGGGTGGGTTTAGGGAGACTGAATGTGCAAAAGCAGAGGAACTTCCTGGAGATGACAAACTGGTCTACATCTTGACTGTGGTGTTGGGCAGGTGCATATTACTCAGGGTCACAATGCATCGAGCGTAAAATATTCCTTAGCAAACTTTATTTAAAAGGTCTCATTAAAGGTCATCGATTACCTGGAGGGCACAGCTCCACAGTCCTGTCTCGGAAGAGGGAGGTCCAGCCTCATTCCAACCAAAGAAGTATCAATACCAATGACTACTTTGGTTAGTCTTCCCCCTCCTTCCCTAGGCGAAGACAGCCAGCCAGATCTCACCCCAGCTGGCTCTGCGGGAGTAAGCGGTACAGTCGCCGCTCCGTTACAACCTCTCAGCGTCCGCCCGCACAGCCAGCCCGCTCGGCAACATCCCTCACGCCTATTGGTCGATAGTGGCCGCCCGTCCAATCGGGAGAGGGATTGTTACGAGAGACGACGCCATCTTGGGGCGGCCGCAGCGGTTGGTAGACAGGCCGAGTTGAGTGCACGTCTAGGCCAAGATGCCGCAGTACCAGACCTGGGAGGAGTTCAGTCGCGCGGCCGAGAAGCTCTACCTGGCGGACCCGATGAAAGTGAGTCGCCGGCGGGCCCGGTTAGGCCGCAGGAGCTGCCGGGGCCCTCCACGCGGTG